TTGCACCCACTTCCCACACCGTTTTGCGGGCACAAGCGCCTCACAGCCAACAACTCCCACCAATAACGTCCCAAGCATTCCACAACTGTTGGTTTATTCGTAGAGAGAAACAGGACAAAACGTCATGGCCTGGCAGCCATGACGAATGCAACCTTCCCCGCTTCGAACCAGTCACCCCTTCGCGCTCTTTCCTTACCACAGCCACGATCTGCCAAAACTTGTACACTGTCATGATCACAGCACAATCGACGGAAAGCGAAGTTGGCCCAGAGCATGGTCCGCTCAACGGCAGTCCGGATTCACTCTATCGCGGGCTGCAGAATCTGAAATCCTTTGTGTTTGTGCTGAAAGAATCCGTGTGTGAAAGTGAGAAAACCCCTGTTTGAGTCACTGTTTCCAACCGTGATGGACCCACAACATCTACTCCTATCGACGCCATATGAAGCCTCCCATAATACCAACTGTGAAAGGTGATCTACAGCACCCAGTTTCAGCCTCAAGAGGCTTTTCAATTCACACCGCCATGTCAAAAACCCGAAGCAAAATCAAAGGCCATTGGGCTGCACTGCGTGATTAGCGTCAGCTTCTATCTCACAACCGCACTATGGCTCTGTAGGCCTTGACGAGCAGCCGTCCACCGACTCTTGTTGCCGGTCAGGGTTTGAAAAGCATGCCGCCAACAAGACCAACCTACCCCGGTGCCTCGTGAACACCATTAATGTCTGATTTAAGACTGGTCGCTACCTCATGCCGAGGAAACATAATATCCAGGGGCTTCTACCACATCACTATCAAATATCAACTCTCTGGAGAACACGGTGCCTGCGTCTTCACTTCAATGCTTTCCCTCAGAAGATGAGCAGCGCTGCCAACTACACATTCAATGCTGCCCGTTTTCGAAGCGGAAGAAATGCTGTGAGCACTCGTCGAAGCAAAATGGATCGCCCAGCCCCAGACAAGCCCATGAGACATCCAGTCGGTCAAACCAAACGGCTGCCACCAGGCCTCCAGTCACCCCCTCCTCAGCCAGTAGCCAGTCAGAAGAACAAAGCTTAAGGTTGCGCAGACTGCCACGACTCTTTATCGCCCGGGCGGCGCAGATCAGCACGTGCATTGGGCCGCACGCGCACCACAAGAGGAGCCTCGGCTAAGCCGACACATCCACCACTCAGGCTGCAAGCGGCATGAAGGGCGGGTCAGCTTGTCTGCTCTACAATCAGCCCGCCTGAGTTCTCAGCAGGCCTGAGCGTCACGGCAGCCCCCTTCACATACGTCCTCACCCACTCCGGGAGCGAGGAGCCCTTCGAGTGCCCGCAGTACTGCGCGTCTGAGGGCAGCGCCTTCCCCCCCTCTCTGACCCTCACACTCATCGCCTTCTTGACATACGACATCCCCTGGTTGGTACCAAACACTCGAAAGACGACTGTGACGTCCAGAGACAGGGAAGCGCCGTCTGGAGTGACCTTCGAGAGGGACCGTGAGCCGTGCTGGGCAGGGTCCCACAGGGCCGCAACCCTGTGCCAGCAGGACCCACATGACCCCCCCTTGCCGTTGGGCCCCGAGGAGGATAGGGTGACCAGGCGGAGCATCTGGGGGACGCCGTCCGGTAGCACCACCACCACGTGGTCCACGGACGCGAATGGGAAAGGCGCCTGGCTCTTCTTGTTCTTCCTTATGTCAATCATGAAGAGAAATTTGGAGCCCAGGCAGAGGAGAGTCGCCGGGTCTGTGTGGCTGCCATCCTGGGCAAGGTCGGCTTCTTGCACCTGCGTCCGACGAAACACCATTTGGGCGAATCGCTCCTGCGCAACAATCTTGGGGAGAACTGAAACCGGGGGTAGTACCACTTGCATGCGAATAGCAACAGCAACAACAGTCAGCGAACGTCCCAGGCGCATCGCCGTGTCATCACGTTTCACAGCGAATCAGATGCCCAAGGCACTGCTTTCAGGCAAACAAGTGCAGGAGAGCCTGGCAACACAGCAACAAGACTTACGCATTGTTCACAGCCAAGCCAATGAAAACACCGTACCTTGTATTTCTTATGAAGAATCCTTGTTTTTACAACCCCAGATCTTTGGGGAAGCTTGTCCAAAGCTGTCGAAATCGGCAGAACCTCTTCGAAGTACATTGACATAACTATGGGTTCATGTTGGTTCTCCCGGCTTGAGGGCATGCCTAGTTCATCCACCATCACCACCTGGGAGCGCCGAACAACGCAGTAATTTCAGCCGAAGTTTCAGCAGCATAGAAAGGCGACATTTCCATGCCCAACCAGCCAACCGTGGGCCCAACAACACCCTTTAAGAAAGCAGTGCAAAATAAACAAAAGCAGAAGCGAGGTGTATATGTGTGTTTTTATCAACCCGCTTGATTACAGTGATTGCTACCAAAATGTCACAAGATGCCTGGGTGTGGAACCCAGATTTGCGTTGAAGGAGACTAAAATTCATACCTGTGTCGACCCTCCATCACCGGAAGAGGGCGAGTCCTCTTGCAGAGGAATGTGGCGAGGGTTTACATCACAGTTCCTCCTCATGTTGAAGCTTGCCAATGTTGACTTGACCTTCAGCTCAGGCTGCCCATCAGGCTTCTGCGGACAGGTGGGCATGTATCGGTACAAAGCCTTCACCAAGTGGCGATGAAAATGGCAACGGCCAATTCCAAGCGGTAACTAAGAATCATTTTGACCAAACTGCAGGTAACCAAAACTGCTGACAGTTGCTTGCTGTCCATAGCAGGTTCCTGAGAGCTCACCGCTAATGAATCAGCACAATTTCTTCTGCAACTCTAAATCCACCAGCACCAACAAATGATATTCAGCCAGCTTTTAGTGCTTTCTAAGAAAGACCAGCGTGAGCCAAAAAATGGACTCACTAGGCAGCTCTGCCTGATCTCTAGATCACCAAGGGTATGCCGCCAACCCAACAGTTTGGAGCACAGCCACTCGCGACCCGGGCATGCCCAGCAGCAACTCAAGGCTGAAGCAAACAGTCTCAAGACCAAATGCAGGAGCAACAGAGCCCACTCGCCTTGCATTCTTGGATCTTTTTCTCTGTTCCCTTTGTCTTCCCACAGCAAGTCTTGTGGCTGATAAGCCACAATAGACTGGTGATCATGACTGAAGCCACCACTCCAGTAAAGATGCCCAAAATGAACACACCTTCGACGCCCATTCCCCAGTCACATGACTGGGTGTCATGCGACAACCCAGGCACTGATGCACTGGACACTTGCCGCACCCCACAGTGAACTTTTACACCTGTCATTCGCACAACAAAAACCTTTTACCAAACTACCAGAAGAATGCGGAAAGGGGAACAGTGTGGCATGCCTGAAAAATACATCCATCACAGCCGCCCCCAATATGTATAGCCTGCATCCAGTTGCCAAACGCACTCACCTTCGGAAACACGCAGGGTGCTTTCAGCTACAGCACAGAAATCTCGATCGCGGATCGCCTCTCTGACACCTTCCACCAAGGCATGGTCTGTGACATACACAACCAGTGCCAATTCCGTGCATGAAGGTGCATGCAGAAGACGACGCGAAGTGCCAGCGTGGGCTGCAAGGAGAACAAACGTGCAAACTCAAATCCCACCACATAAAGAATTGGACTTGAGCATTTTACTGCTCTGGTTCACAGAGCCGTCGGATGCCTTTGTTACAATGGGCCAGGGAAGCACAATGCAACCAAAAGGAGCAGTTGGGCTCATGCAAAGCTGGTGTCTGATGCCTACTTTAAGCAGACACATCTTGTGAGCACATATCAACAGCCTACAGGCAAGTTCTTGTGTGTTGCAAATGTTGATATTGGCCAGCAAGATTTGAACATTCATGCAATCCATTAACATCTTGTTTGTGTCATGAGGTTGAGGAGGTGGTCAACCTTCAATTTTGCTATTTGTTTTGGCAGGCGTGTTGAGTGTCTATCCTGTCACCATGTACCCATGGGGATAGCATGAAAAATACACACCATGAACAGAACACTGTCCGCAGCTCAAATGGTTGATGCACTCCAGCCTTGCAAGTTAAATATGTATGGCACCCATTCCACTGTGGCTGATTTGTGCTGCCCATTCTTTCCCACACAAGCGACTGACACATATGCACAAACCAACCGAATAGGCTGAACTAAACACCCAAGCAACACAGTCATCATGCAACCACACAAGGATTCATGCACAGTATCCAGCATAAACACGTACCTGATGAGCAAAAGCGTGTTGACGGCTTGATCCCAATGTATCGGGCATCAGGTGTTCCTGCAGCAGACAGCGCTGCTGCCAGGTCTTGTCTTAGAAGCGATAGCAGCCTTCTTGAGAAATAAAAGTTCCCTTCCCCCTCAAACTCCAAAAGAACGTCCACCTCCTCCCTAGCTACGATCGGACACCCTGGGCAACATTCAATGGCCAACGTCAGGTCTCGGAGCCACAAACGGAGTGCCATTCTGTCTCCAAGCGGGCCGGCAGGGAGGGACAGCATCATGAATTGATGCACCAACGAATGTGGGACAGTGCAAAAGAACCAACACACACTCTCTACATTTTCTTGCACTGATAGTCCAAGGAATCTGATTGGCCGCATCAACTGCACGTGCACAGTGCCAAAGGGGGCTTCAACGCCAGAATGCCGAACGGGGTGCGAGTAGTCTAGAGCAGTTTACGGCAAGCAGTTCGTCGCACGCCACCCTTAACGCGGACTCTGCGCAAGTCCACCAGCAGCAATCGCAGCAGCCATAGCGGCAAAGCCTGCGAGGCGGGCGCCGCACTGCGCCGCGATCGCCGACACGGCGCCGTCCACATCGCCGCCCGGCGCAACGCCGGCAGCGCGATTCCGCCCAATGAAAACACCACCACACTTAGCGCTTCTCCGCTTCGCAAATGAGCGGGCGCCAGCACTCTAGAGCAAGCTCCAGCTGCAGCTTTGCCGCTGCCTCCGCACCTGTCTCCATCGGGTCCCCGGGCTGGGCCTGTGTCTGCTCCTTGGCCTCAGCACGCGGGGCGCCCAGCAGCACAAACACGACCATCGCCACCAACCCCGGCGTCGCACCCATGATAGCTACAAGCGCGAGAGTGCGCCCGCGAGCGACTTCCCGACTCCTGAAACACACACAGCCGCGAAATCAGGGGTCCCCAAATCAGGGGTTTTAGAATCAATGGCGCAGGCGAGACACGGCGCTCTGTCGGCCCGGGGGCCAGGGGCCCGCGGGAGGGCGTCACGGGACACCAGCAGGTGGCCTGGATCGCCGCTTGTCGCTTTCGGCGAAAGGATCGCTCCACTGCCAACGGGTGGCAGGGGGGCGGGGAGGCGGGGGGGCGAGGGTGCGGGTGGCGGCCAAACGCACCCGGCCACGCCGTCTCAAAGCCGCAAGGGGTTCGGCATGCACCAAAGGCCACGCCGCGGGCGCAATCCGCGCCGTGGGCACGGAACGGCGCCCTCCCTTCCCGCCATCGCGGCCCAACGCGGCGCTAGGAGGATGGGGGCAGCGGGGCAACGGGGCAGCGGGGCGCGCGGGTGCCTTACGCATACGACGAAAGTCGGAATCGCGTGCAGCGCGCATGTGGGCGGGACGACTCCGAGATGGGCGCGATCGCCGGCAGCTCACCGACGGCCCGCAAGCTGTAGATAGAGGCCCCTCCGCTTCCGTCCCCGCCGGACCAGCCGCAGCGCCCACCATTCGCTTCCGTCGCAAGCGCCCGCGAAACGCTTCGGCCCCCATCCATCGCCACACGCTGATGGCTAGCCCTTTTCCGCCCCAGGACACGACGCGACACGTCACGCCCCCGCGATTGTACAAGAGTGATTGGCGCCGATGGTCCCCGGTGACCGACATGGGGCCTGCCATCTCCCCGGATCTTTGCGACGAATTGAGCCATGCGTAAGGCGCGGGTGCGGGGATCTTCGCCTTTTACTTTTGCGCAGTACTGTTGGGGTGCGGGACTGTGGGACAGGCGGACTGCGTGGGCGTCTGATTTCCGTTCCCCAAAGCCGGTGACGGGCTGCTGTGCTCTGCCGTGCTGAAGTTGCGCGGCGAGTGTTACGGGAATGCATTAGTAATACGGAGGCGAGCGTAATCGGTTTGCGTGGGAGGAGACGCTATGTCGGTTTTGTTACGCTTAGCGTCAAATTGACGCTGGGGAGGGGGGGTCAGTGACAATTTGGCAAGTGACATTTTGGCTAGATAATCGCAGCCGTATCGGGGGTAGAAAAAGTGGGTCCCATTTGCGTCCCATGCGCCCCAGCACCACACGCCGAAGACCCAAGGACGGAACTCCACTTGGTCGCGCGAGTCGGCGATCTGGGGCGCGATTTCAGGAGGCACGAAATGGCGCTACGCTGCGCCCTCCGAGAGGAGTGAGGTTCCCTGCCCTGCGCCCCGCTGCATCCTCGCTCGCGCCGAAGCAGGCGGCCCAAATTCACACCGCACCGTTGCAGTCAGTACTATCACGAAGTGACGCCGCGAAGCCTATGGTCAGTTCTGACAGGCTCCAATTCTCTTGGGCACTGTCTTAACACGTTGCCCGTGCATGGTTTGTCACGAATCGCTGGGCGCTCCGATGCGAGGGCAGCCCCCCTCATCTACGGCCCGCCCGTGCGCCGGACCTGTGACGCTAAGAGATTATGTAATTGCAACAAAATCTACATAAGGAGGAAAGATACCCCAAAACGCCGCGGATCAGCTGGAAACAACTCATGGCTTGTTCGTAAACCACCTGCAAGTGTTTAATGTTCAGAAAAGGCCTCAAAATGGATCAATCCACAACAATTAAGGCTACCCGCCTCCCCTACAATGCCATTTAGAGTCCCATTTCTCAACTCACTGAAATGAGCCAAACTTTGACTATTTTTTGTCCTCGAAACCAACTAGAAATCGCATATCACTGTCACATAAATTTGTTGAGTCATCCTTGCATCGACATAAGGATTGACGCTAAGGAGGGTGGGTAGGTGGGTGGTTGGGGGGTGTAAGATGGCGTTACAAAGGCGAAATCCCTCCTCTTAAGAGAGTGGAAGCTTCCACCCATATTTCAGGCGATGTAGGAGGCAGCCCCGGAACAACACAAGGCACGGAACAGGAGAGCGTTTTTTTGGTCCACAGATTGTGCTCAGTATTCACCCATGGCGTTCAAGCGAAGCGGACCCACAGGAAACGCACCAGGAGATACAACAGCAAACGAAATCAAATGGAAAACCGTAGAAAGCGAGAAACATCAGGAAAAATGCAAATGAGCCACAGCAGAGACACCGACCCCAGAAACAACTAGAAAGACAAAACACCAATGCCCAGCAACCCAGAACTGGCATATCCACCCGTATCCAGCCACTTTGGAAAACCACCTGCAAAGTGTAGGGCTGAACGCCCACCACCAGAGGCCCAAAAAACAAGCAGCGAGGTGGGGCACAACTCAACCCAACTACCTGCAATAAGGGCTCGCAATCGGGAGCGGGAGGTGTGTGTGGGTGGGTGGGTGGGGGGGTCTGAGCTTAACGTCAAATTGATGCTAAGCGCAACAAAATCGACATGACACTTTCCCTTAGGGAAGCAGCGCTGTTGGAGCACTCCGCTGCCCTCCCGCAAGCACCGACCGTCATGATGGGCCTGCCATGAGGACCGACGAGGGCCGAGCCGCAGCCGAAAAGCAAGATGTGGCTTCTTCTTAAGTGCAGATGTTGTGTGATTCCTAGAAAGGATTATGTGGTCTCTTCTAGATGGTGTCTTCTACTCGGCGAACACGCACACTGGCCACATGGCTTAGCCACATTCTCATCAACGTTCCTTGCCATCGATGTCCATGCCCGTCGGCGCAGGTTGCCAATCGCTTCGCAGCACGAAAACAAAGTGCTGAGCCACAGTACAATGGTACAGAGAGCGCTGTACCGATGGTCAAACGTAGTGCCTAGTCCTATTCCGCGAAGAGTGCGGCTGCGGGAAGCAGACTTGAAAGCCAATGTCTTCGAGACTGTCGATTCGATAGATCTCTGGAATCTTAGGCTTACTTTGATCCAAAGGAAGCCTATCGATCGCACCCTCGTCTGCTTGGAACAGCGTGAGTGTTAAGGGCTTTTGTGGCCACCTCGAGGTTCTTAGCTTGAAAATGGAAGCACAGTGTGCCATTCGCTCAGATATGCTGCGGCCAGGGTGTCATGTCTGCAAGCAATCTGTCGAGGGTGTCGTGGGCCTTTTCCCGCGGATTTGCAGCACAGCTATCAAACTTTCTTCCTCACTTTCTACAGAAAGTATATCTCCTTCATGCCGTTTGTAGTTAGGGCACGCTGAAGAGACCATACGGCCGATCCGATCTCACATCTACACGTTTGGATGTTATGTTTAGATCCACATATTGCGATCCGTATCCGTAAATACCACGCATGTGGCAAGAAACGGGGTGTTTGAGCGATCTCTATGCGTGGGCGCTTCTGCGAATCGCTCCCGGATGGTTGGTCGTCCCGTCCACCCTTTCGTGTGGGCGATGAACTCGGTCTCACCAATTGGCCAGCGCTTTGGGGGTTTGCGTCTGTTCGAAGCATGATGCATGGGGCCAAGCTTCAGGCTCGCAGTTGGCTGGCGGCGTGTGCAGCAGCGCTGGGCAACAGCGAGCCTGGTATGTAGATTATGTTGGCAGAAACATCCGTTTGTCGATCCAACTGCGATGCCGTTTCGACATAAACTGGTGCTATCACTGTATTGCAATGGCATCGAATATACTGTTATAGCATCAGTCAATGTTGAATAGCGTGGCAATTCGTATTGCCAAATGGAGTTCTCTATTGCTGTGGAAATGGGAGACATTGTTCCCCGCTCAGCAGATGCTACCAACGTGTCTTCTCCTGAACGCGTTTTTCTCCAGCGAATGAGGATCCCGAAGAGAGGAGAGTATCTTTTGCAATGAATGTCGTGAATTCACATTCGAATGTTTGCAGTTCAACGTCAGTGTTCCCCAAATGCTTAACTACCTGCGATCTTCGGCACAAAAGCATGCACGTCAAATTGGAGTTGCAGGGAATTGGACATCTAAGTACAAAATGTCGCACAGCGCGGGGTATGCCGGCATATCGGCATTTGGAAATCGAGGAATGTTGTTTTGAATGCTAGCCACAACAATGCACAGAGGAAAATCGTCGATTCAATGATGTCGTTTACCGGTTGTCATCAACGTTGATGCTGCTCAGTTTCATTTCCTGTATAGGAACAGCGAGAATCCTCTTCGCTCTCGGTGGCAGACATGGCCTCCCTTCGACAATCACCAGTTGATCTCTATGGCATTGACCATTTGCCCAACTTCTATAACAGATCCACATGACATTGGCTACAGCCAATCCCGCTCCCTCAATCCCTTCTCTCTTCAATCCCGCGCCCCCTCGCATTAAGGTACTGTTCCCAGCTCTATACTCCGAAACAAGTGACCATTCGTCGCGCAATTGCCGTCAGATTTTTGTGCCGCCTCGTCGCCAAACGGAGGAACAGCCAAGGGGCTCTTTTCCGCATCAGATCTCACGCACCTGCGCAAGGAATTCGCAGTACAAATCAAAGTTCAACATTGGACTATGATAGGTTTGATTTTATATCACTTTTTTAAATGCAATACTGCCTTCAAGCAGTACTGCATGATCAAACTTGGCCATTTGATCAGCATTTGATCGTCTGGCACACAATCCAAATCATTAATTTGTTTCTCTGGAAAAATCTGAAGGGGACACAGAAAAATGACCAGGTTGGTGTGGCAGATTTGAAACGAAATGAAATGGGCCAACTCCACCAGATGCGTTTTTGTGTAAAACAAAACGTGGGTTTTCATCTCAAGCAACCCGTTCGCATTGAAACTGAATTTTCGCTATACACAGGGGCTTGTGTTTGCTTACAAGGTGCATACATCAAGCTTTGGCATGGTAATGCACGAGTGTCATTGCGAGACTTCATTGGATTGCAGATCTGACACCCGTTACCAAGAGGAGGATCAAATGAAGCCAGTTGCTCTTAGATGCAGAGCGAGAATGTGCAAGGGCGGGCCGGACGTTTGCTGGTCAGTAATATGTCATGACGTATATGTACACACGCGCAGTTCTTACGGATTGATCTTGCATTCCAATCTCAATCCCAGAATCCATTGTGGCTTGCAGGGTCAGTGATGGTCCACAATACGAAACGACGCCGCAGCTGATCTAGGGAATGTCCCCTCATCGACAAGGAGAGTGAAATATTCTATCCTTCTCAGCATTCGTATTCGGAAAGTGCAATGGTGGAAAGGCGTTTTCACAGGCAGTACACGCATCGCGGTGCCAACACAGACAGCCTCTTGGTTGGTGGGCATGCGTCACCTTGCCACACAGATACATGCACAGCAAGGCGACGCTTGGTACACAATACGCTGGCTACGTTTACGCCATACTGCACCATGGAAATTTTTTCACATATATGGAACGGGGAGTGCCAGCATTTCAAATCTTAGACACACGAGGGTGGAACTATATGCAGTCAGCGAAGGGCGCTTGTCGCCCGTATGCCCGATACATCGTGCATCGTATCGGCCACGCACACATGCATCTTCAGGGAAGTCAATGAGATGACTGACGTGACACATGGGCGCTTGTCTCTGGCGCCAACGCTAGAGAAATTCATTTGCGCCCGGGCGAGTGGCCTTGGCACTAGAACAGCTGCTAGGATACATTTGGCCCCATCTGGCATCGTCTGATGAGGAAGATGGCAT